CTATAGAAAGCATGGCATACCCCATTTAAGGGAAATCTTAATATTTAAAGAGTTTTGTTTAAATATTATTTGTGGTGTGTGTGTGTGTGTGTGTGTGTGTGTGTGTGTTCATGTACGTGTGAGAGTGGCTGCATTTGTGTCAGGAACATGGCGTACATAGGGAAGTCAGAGGACACTGTTGGCTGTTGGTTCTCATCTTGCATCTTATTTGAGACCGAGTCCGTCTTATTGGTCCCTGCTGCTGGTCCTTAAATATCCAGGGATTCTCCTGTCTGCCTTCCACCTCTCCCATAGGAGCATGATGGGAATGTAGATGTTTTTTACCACTGCATTAAGTTTTTGCCTGGGTTCTGGGCATTTGAACTCAAGTTGTTAGGCTTGTGTGTTAAGTACTTAACCCACAGAGCGATCTTCTCAGTCTCACTTTTTCCTCTTCAAACGATTTGCTTTTAGTGCTTTTAAATACAGGCCTATTTCTATTGCCTATCTTTTTGAGCTCATATTCCTTATTAATCCAAGTTATACTATTACATCTAGAATATATTAAGTAACTGTTTAATGTCCAAGTAAGTTTAAATTCAGTGGACATACTTGTCTATGGATATTAATAATTATTTTAAAAGTTAAGACTATTTCTAATATAAAGTGGTGTAAACATTAAAATATATGAATCAGAGAAAAGAGCAAAGGTTACTTTATTTCTCCTCTATAACCAGTAATTAAGTGCATGTATGATTTCCAATGTTGTTTTTCTCTCACTTGTATAACTTTCCCATAAATAAAGATGCTACATTGTCCAGCCTTCATAATTACACATCTGGACAGATGCTTAGCATTCTCAAAACTCAGTGGAAGTAGGACTGTTTGCCTAATAGCATTTATCCTGTCATTTTCATAGGATAATAACATGTAGTTATTTTAAATTTAGCACTGTCAAGGCCTAATGTCACCCACCCCATATTTAAGATAGGCTAGATATGGAGAGGTACAATAACTGGGATGTAAACAATTTTGGTTCTTGATACAATATTGACAAAATGCCTTCCAGAAAGATGATACTGATTTATATTCCCACAGTATCTGAAGGTTCCATTTTGCTTTTAGTATCAATCAGTATTAGAATGTATGTGAAATTTATCAGTTTTAATAGTTTCTTATTTTAGTTTACAGTTGGATTTGACTACTATTTTTTATTTTGTATTTACTTTTTTCTTATGTGTACATGTCTTTAATTTTTATGTAGTAAAGGTAGGTGTTGGCTGCAGAAGATGGATCAGCTGGTAAGAGTACTTACTGCTCTTGTGGAGGACTCTACTTTGGTTCTCAATTCCTTTATCAGGTAGTTCAAAACTAGCTGTAACTCCAGCTCTAGGGCATCTGTGGACATCTCCCACCCACATGTGTACATAATTAGAAGTAATAAAAAAAAATTTAAGATGCTAATTATGTATTTTGTACATCTCTCAGATTCTCCCCCACTCCAATTTATCATTTTCTGTTGTCAGAAATCTTGGGACTCCCTTTTTGTGTGAATACAATCTGAGGTGTTCTTATTTCTTTGTATTCTAAATTTAGTGAAATTTCATTTTTTTTAAAGTCCTTTAAAAACTCCTATTTCCTCGACAGTTGTGTTTTTAATCTATTATTTTAGTGTTGGGTAAAGTAACCTTTCTCTGAGGAGGTTGAAGCTGTAGTAGCAGAGGCGTTAACTTCTGTTCACTTGTAGAATGAGTGATGTAGAAAGATACTGGGATATGGCTTTAGAAGTCATGGGTAAGTGTGGCTGATGCTGTTTCTGTGCTTTGTGCTTGAGGGTAAGAGTTCCAGCTGAGGAAATCTGCTGAGGCTCTAAATCTTTCTGCAAATTGTTAGGAGATTGTCCTGCCTGCCTGTGGAATAATCATACCTGACAAAGTTGTGAATGATAAGATTCTTAATGTGGTACTTGTTGAATGGTAAGCAGTATAGCTGTGATTACCACTTATTGCCACATTTTTCTAATTGTATCTGTCTTGGGCTAGAATGAGTCTGTGTAGATAATCCTCATGCTTGCTCTGCTGGATTGACTCACTTGACCTGTCATCTATCACTAACCTTGCTTCTTCTTTTTTTTTTTTTTTTTTTTTTGGTTTTTCGAGACAGGGTTTCTCTGTGTAGCTTTGCGCCTTTCCTGGGACTCACTTGGTAGCCCAGGCTGGC